ACACAGACTGCTGAGTCCGTACACACACACACACACAGACAGACTGCTGAGTCCGTACACACACACACACACACTCTGCTGAGTCATACACACACACTCTGCTGAGTCCATACACACACACAAACACACACACTCTGCTGAGTCCATACACACACAAAGACTGCCGAGTCCATACACACAAAGACTGCTGAGTCCATACACACAAAGACTGCTGAGTCCATACACACACAGATTGCTGAGTCCATACACACACAGATTGCTGAGTCCATACACACACAGATTGCTGAGTCCATACACACACAGGCTGCTGAGTCCATACACACAGGGCCTGCTGAGTCCATACACACACACACACACACACACACACAGACTGCTGAGTCCTTACAGTGTGTGTGTAGAGTCTGTATTGTGATCATGTTCAGGTGGGCGGTGTGTGTTAACCATGAGAACGTAATGTGGGGCAATGTGTATGGGGGAAGGCAGTGTGTGTGTGTATGAAGTGTCGTGAGGAGAAATGTGTGTATGGAGAGGCTTTGAATGTCAATAGGGGCAATGGAGTAATGTAATGGGGGGTAGTATGGGGGGCAATGTGTGTCTAGGGGCAGTATGGGGGCAATGTGTGTCTATGGGGAGGCAGTATGGGGGCAGTGTCTGTGTGTATGGAGCTCTGTATGGGGGGCAATGTGTGTGTATGGGGGGCAGTGTGTGTGTATAGGGGCAATATGGGGGCAATGTGTGTGTATGGGGGAACTGTATGGGGGCAATGTGTGTATGGGAGGCTGTATGGGGGGCAGTGTGTGTGTGGGGGGCAGCGTGTGTCTATGGGGGGGCAGTATGGGGACAGTGTGTGTGTATGGGAGGCTGTATAGGGTGCAGTGTGTGTGTATGGGGGGGCAGTGTGTGTGTATGGGGGGCAATGTGTGTGTGTACACCCCCAAGCCTACCTGTCACTGGGGGTCAGGCAGCCATCTTCTGAAGCAGCATGGGCTGCTGAATTACGGTGGGGGCGGGGCTTAACGGTGGGAGGCGGGGCTTTGTTTGGGGGCGGAGCCTGTGCCGGGTAGCCAATCAGTGCTCCCTCCGGCCACAGACAGCCCCCAGCACCTCAGCACTGCATTCCCTCGGGCTGTGACAGGCTGTTACAGTCCGAGGGAAGCCCATGGCCAGCAAGTTGCTGGCATTTGGGGGGACCCAAGGGGGGGCACAGCATGATGTAGGGGGGGCCATGGCCCCCTCTGGCCCCCCCCTAGCGACGCCACGGTCCCTAACATGTCCACATTAAAAATGTGCTTACCAAACGCATTTCAATGTACATCCTGACAATAACCTTAAATGCTGTATGAACAATTGTTACCGTTGTATACTTGAAAGTTAAAAACACCCTGAAATGTCTAATGTAACTTATACGTACAACCAAGCACGGAAAAATAAAGAATCTAAAAGTAAAAAACAGCTTGAAGTTGCTTGCACTTTTCACTGCGGTCGCACCCTGTTAGCTTGTCGTATGTGCTATGTCTCGACTGGTAGTATCTCTTGACATTAAATTCCTTCTAAACAGCCACAGTCTCTTGGCATATCAGACAAACCGTTATTCAGTATTTCAGTGAAGAAATATTCCACTTTCCACCTGTCCTGGAAGCGGCAGGCCTCACTGTCAACTTTCCTTCTCTTATTTACAGTCGCCATGTGAGCGCAGTGCCAAAGGTTTTGGTCTAAGTGTGTTCGCCCAAGCCCTAATTATACTAAGTGTGTTCGCCCGAGCACTAATACACTGCACAACATGAATTCGCCAGAGATCTCTTCTCTCTTTATTCCTCCTCTCTTTATTCCTCCGCGAGAACGCAGACTAAAGACATGCAGTCCCGCGGCGTTTAAAGATCCAGAGAATCTCTGGATCTTTGAATGCCGTGGGACTGCATGTCTTCAGTGGCGCTCCGGGATTCACTGGGAGCCACAACATATAGATTTGACAAATTACCTGTGGGGCCATATTAAACCGGAACACGGGCCAGACTTTGGACATGACTACCTTAGAGGTATACACAAAGTACCATAACCACTACAGCCCACTGTAGGGTTTATGATGCCAGGAGTGCAATGACTATAAGTAGCTGAAGCTTTCAACTGCAATAAAGGTAGAGTGCATCCAGCAAGACCTATGTAAGTTGTCAAAATGGTTTCACTACTTACTCTGAAGGGCACCAGAACACTCCTGCCCCATAACCAAAACAGTGAGCTGTAATGATTATGGTGTTTGCAGTATTTTTGTAAGATGTGGGTAACTGTGTGGTTCTGTATCCCAACGTTGGTTCTGTCCTTCATTTACACGTTGCCACAGGAGCATGCTTTGCAGTCTCATTATGTCTTCTATATAATATACAACCCTGTTCAACTACTAGCCAATTGAGCATGTTGCCATAAACTTTAAAATCCTATCTCTTAGCCGCTGTATGAGGCTGTTTGAATGTAAAAAGTTTCCAGCTTGCATTTGAAAAGCAATTTTATTCCCTTAATGTAGTTCATATGATGACAAAATTCAATAAACTGGTAATGTTTACAGTATCACTTTGCCGAATGCCTAACTGACTGAAGGGAAGATCTAGGCACCTAATCTGGTTATCTTGCGCGCACTCTGCTTGTTGCCCCACCCACCCTGATTTCTGGTTTATTGATAAGAATTCAAAGGTATTTATAAAGTTTAATTTCCCTAGTCCCCTTTCAAATTCTCTCTTCCTATAATAATGTGCATTGGTAGCAGACTGCAAGGGAACACATAGCCCAGGGGTGCCCAAAAGGTAGATCCCCAGATGTTGAACTAAAAGTCCCTTGATGCTTTGCATGCTCTTTAGAATGTCTTTACAATGACAAAGCATCATGGAAGCTGTAGTTTTAAAACATCTGGGGATCTACCTTTTGGGTACCTCTGTACTAGCTAGCCATTAAAAAGGAACTTAACTGGGAAACCAGCTACAAAGGGAAGCCATTTACAAAATAAGAATCACTATGTAGTTTATATACCCTCAATGAAAACATGCATGCATTTAATTATGCATTTTTTTCACTGGAAATAAAGTTGCAAGAAAAAGTATGTGAACCCTTTGGAATGATATGGTTTTCTGCACAAATTGGTCATAAAATGTGATCTGATCATCATCTAAGTCGCAACAATAGACAATCACAGTCTGCTTAAACTAATAACACACAAAGAATGAAATGTTGTCATGTTTTTATTGAACACACCATGTAAACATTCACAGTGCAGGTGGAAAAAGTATGTGAACCCTTGGATTTAATAACTGGTTGAACCTCCTTTGGCAGCAATAACTTCAACCAAACGTTTCCTGTAGTTGCAGATCAGATGTGCACAACGGTCAGGAGTAATTCTTGACCATTCCTCTTTACAGAACTGTTTCAGTTCAGCAATATTCTTGGGATGTCTGGTGTGAATCGAGCATTTCTGTGTGATAAAATTGAAGATTATGCTAGCTTTAGTGTACTAATAATCTTAATTTTAATAAGGGCAGGGGGCAAGTATTTTGCATCTCTCTCTTTACTAACTGTCAGGCATCGTGACCTCATCGTTTCCTCTTTCAAAACCGACATCCACCGGAAGTAAACATATAACAAGTAATAATAATAACTCCCAAGTCCCATATCCGGAGGAGCAAACTTCCAGAGAATTCCATACGAACAACGAAAATGTTCAGGGATGAATCAAATCCAAAGGATTAAAATTCCAAAGAGTTTCACGCGAACAACCAAATGTCTTCAGAGACGAATCAAATCCAAAGGATTAAAATTCCAAAGAGTTTCACGCGAACAACCAAATGTCTTCAGAGACGAATCAAATCCAAAGGATTAAAATTCCCAAAAGTTTCACGCGAACAACCAAATGTCTTCAGAGACGAATCATACTGAAAAGAAAATGTGTGACAGGTTTAGACACATAGTTATGAATATGTAAATCCAAGTAACATACCATATACATCATCCCATAGGAGAATACTGTAAACTACAAACTGATAACTGTAATGTATACTCCAATAATTAATGGAAGTACAATAATCGATGTAAGCACAAAACATGAGAGCCCAAACTTACCTCAGACCCCTGATGCATACCAAGAAAACAAACAGAAGGGTGGGCAGCGAAGCAGGGAGGGAAAATACTCGCCTCCTGTCATTATTAAAATGAAGATTATTAGTACACTAAAGCTAGCATAACTTCAATTTTACAACATGACAGGAGGCTTTGTATTTTGCATTTTTAATGCTGAGAAAAGAATATAAAAACCAAGGAAGAATCCTAAGGTGCGTTGAGATACCCAGCACTTCGGGGGTTGTGGGGAAGACCATCCCGTTGAACGCCTGCACATCTGCTATCTGACGGGAAACTACATGAGACCAAGCCTGAACATCCGTCAGCAGAATGTCTAGTCCCATAGAGGGACAGGAGAACGACCTCCACATCCCATTAGTTGGAATCCCAGAGGATCCTAGTCCATAGGGAGTCCTCAGGTCAGGATATGGTTCGTTGTTCCATCCCAATCCTCAACTAGGGGGTCAAGATACCGTTCCGAACATCA